GTTTTAGAAATAAAATACAATTTTTGATGCGATAATATTGTTGGGATTTAAATGGGAATTATATTCTGTATTATTTATTTGCAATTTATATTTATAAATAGCATTCTGTGAGGGATTAGTATTCTGTTATTTATATGCTTTCTCTTTCAAAATTGTCGCTAAAATCCAATTATTATTTTTATATTGAGTATTTTACTTTCAAAACTATTTAGGGATTTAGTTTTCAAATGTAAAATTGGATTCATGTCTAAATATTTTTATTTGTCTGTGTTTTTCACATTTGCCTTTTCGGTAAACAAGAATATGTTTCTCTAACGTTATTACAATAACTTTTATAACAAAACAATGCATATTAAATTAATATAAATGATTATTTTGGCACCATTTTCATTTTCATTTACTCATTTATTAATGATTTTTGATAAAATATAAACATTATTCTACATTGAATTATGTTTTGAATACAAATATTTATTTATTGGTCAAAAATTAAGGCTAAATTATATCTAATCAGAAAATTAATCAAATAATGTATGTTATAGTAAGCATTGAGTGTTTATTTCATTCACATTCACTATCACTTAAATTACTATCATTTACTTAACACATAAATCATAATATAGTTTGCTAAGAAATATTTATATAGAAATAGTATATTTATATTATGAATAAATATTTATACAATGAATGAATTTAAATAAATGTTTGCATTTGATGTGTAGGGCCCTCACGGCGAGTCGTTTCAGTCGCTTATGTTTCCGCTTCCGATGTCTTATCTCATATTCAGAGCGCCTTCAGAGGCGGCCGGAAAGAAGTGGATGGAAGCCATCGAACTGTCCCTCCAATGCTCTACTATGTTGATGAGGAATATGTCGCACAGGGAGTCGATGCCCAACACACCGGCCCCGTTGGGCACTATGCCTGAGTCTGGCAACACATTCCCCGAACTGATTCCCACTGGAAATCTGTCCCAAACGCTGAATGAATCAGAAATTGAGAAACATTTTGGAGATCACGGTTTGGATTGACTCTGAATGCACTCATAAATACTGAAAGTGTTATGAAATGTTTGGACACAGATTTGGACGATGAGATCCATACAGATCACGGCGGAGACTCTCAGGACCACCACTCGACTGATGACAGCGATTCGGACGCCGATCACATCCATCGACACATTAATGGCATTGAAGGCAAAGACGCGAAACAATGCGAAACGCAGTACATCTTCGACGGCGGGAACGAAGAGTTTGGTATTGCGGGCGACGCCGGACAGACCGAGGAGATGGCCGATGAGAACAAGAGCTTAATATGGATTCTACTGAAGCAAGTGAGGCCTGGCATGGATTTGTCCAAAGTAGTCCTGCCCACTTTCATTCTCGAGTCCCGTTCCTTTCTCGACAAACTCACCGATTATTACTATCACTCGGATATCATTTCAAAGTAAGCCATTCGCCAAGTCTTGGGAT